CATTTGACTAAATTTAAGTGTTCATTGAACCATGCCTCCATAAGACTACTCTGTAAACGTTGAACGGCCACCAAAAAATTGTAATTATTCGCAGCTTTTACTATATACTTTGGCAAAATTGAAAGCGTTTTTTATTTATATTAATCCTTGTACTTGCTACGCGGCTGGGCGAGAATATATTGTAATCGCGAAAAATGTCGAATATGAGCTATTATGCATTTTTGAATATTATTTCATTACGAAAAACCATGCCAACCATTTGCGTTGGTAATGCTTGGCCCCTTTATAACTAAAGTACTGCTACTACCAGCTTCTGAAAATCGTTCTACACGCGGAGGAGAAAAAGGCCAAAATAAAAATCGTCGTTTTTTGACGTTTTAGAGGATCCTGATCACTGTTGGAAAAATTTCTCATGATCAAAAATTGGGGGACGTGTGGTTGTGGGGGGTGGAGAGAGTATATCTTAATTGTTTGATATTTATACGGTAATTCTATCCGCGTAATAGCCAAAGTGCTTTTTTTTGCGCCTGAATATAATATTAGGATGGCCATTGTCTGGCTGAATCAAATTAGCCTTTTTCAAGTAAGATAATGGCCTATTCAGGAGCTTTAGGCAAATTTCAGTTATTTGACATGATATATATTTCTGTTCCACCAATGTGCTCAAAATCCGTTATTTATTTTTGACTGTGATAAATTACCAAAAAGTATTCGATTTTTATTGTTAGAGGAATAGATGTGTAAAACGTTCTTCAGTACATTGTAATAGAGATTTTCATATTGACTACTAAGGTCTGCGATCACAATTCAAATTCGTTCGATTTTACACATAAACAAAATAAACTTAAACACTGCAAGTCAGGACACCTCTCACTCAGCTGAGATTGGTCTTTGATAATGTAGTTGGGGTATGGGGGAGAAAGAAAATATTTCTATGACGTGAGACCCTCATTCATTTATACTGAGTTTTATATAAAAAACCTGCAATAAGCCAAAAAAACTGAAGTACGGTGGACGCGTTTCTGAGATTGTGTGTTAAAGCAGCATACCCAGAGAATTCCTAGAAAGCTCAGCCAAAAATTAGACTCATGACGAGTATGTCTGGAAATGCCACCAACATAAATATTCAAACAGCTGAATTTCTGTATTAGCTGATAACCAAAAGAAAAATATCACAGAATTATAAGATACTTCTAGGTCTAAAACATTGAGGCTCCTAAATCATAGTCTTGCTTATGCCACAAAATCCTGGAAATAGTTAAAAAATAAACACTGCAATATTTGGAAATATTTGACTAGCCGAAAACTTTACCGTTGAAATCGTCGAAATAGGAATAAGCTGACCCTCCATAATGGCTGGGGGATGCGTGCCAGGTCAACTGACGCACAACTACAAAAATAAACGGATTCCAATGAAAATAACAGCCACTTAATCGATTTGAGGCTAGGAACAATTTGAGTTTGTAACTTTTGATCTGAGAAATGATGATACATCTGCACCATTGCCAGGCTTCAGTTGATCCCCCATGAGACAGGTTTCCCCATTCCACCTTTTTGTATAATCTGATTCATGGGAATATACGTATGGAAATTTCTGTTAGGTAAAATTCCCTTTCCGTGCCACAGCGTAACCATAGAAATTCGAGAGTGTTTTATTTTGAATGTACTATAAGTCAAATACCAGAATTGATGACAGTAGCCGAAGTCATCGTGCGCCACTGCTTTCACGCTGTACCTTTTGATTACAGCGACATTTACCGACATTTCACAAAGAAGCGCCGCATTTTCGAAGGCCTCCGCGTAATAGCAGTGGCGTACGATGAGTTTCGCTACTGTCATTAATTTTGGTATTCTACTATAGAACCAATATTTCGACTAAGTTCTCCCCTCTCTCGCTTGTTTACAAATCGATTTTGCAGATCAGATTTAATATGAAACCTTTTCTACTATTTTTTTTTGTTATTCAATAGTCTGTTTTTGTATTTCATAAGTTGTTTTTTTCTTCCTATGTTCAATTGGTTTTAAGTATTACTGGAGAAACTTTAATATGAATGTTATTTTGCGAAATTCTTCTTCGCTTTGTGTTTTCGAAACGAATCAAAGGACAAAGTTGTTCTGGAAACATCCTGTATACACCACCTGGTATTACTAACACCTGCACATAAACCTTGTATTTTGCCGCAGCTCCCTACTAATTAAAAAGTTGAAAGTAACCAAATACAAGCAACCGCTTTCCTAGAAACTTTCTAATTCACGAGCCAGCTCTGAAAAGCAAGACATACGATACGGGGGTTACTTCGGGGGTAACGGCAACCCTCACAACATCAGAAATACGAAACTCCAAAGGGGTGGGAGAAGATGACTCGGATTCCTTCCTGCAGTGTTTCCAAGAACTTTTCTAATTACCCTCATTATTTCCTGTCGATTTGTTTGATAACGACTTGGGATAGAGTTGCTGAGAGGGCTATGAGTTTGACACAAAGGTCGGAATGAACACGGGTATACACTTTGCTGGAGGACCGCTTTTGCGACTTAGATTGTATATCAGTACAGAGGCGCGACGCAGGCTACGTAGGCATATAATCTTTGTTACACCATTTTTCTCCCGTCACCTCGCCATATTTTATAAAAATGGTGAATGTGCCACGGAATTATGCTGCTGATTTTGTCCGTATACCCACCGTTTTTCAAAATTACCATCAAGGCAAGACCGAAGGTGAGTATTGTGGCCGACTTTTTATAAGTAGAAATTTCTGTTTTAATGGGTAGTATAGGGTCGAAACTTGATATTCGATTTTAGATTAGATAAAACGTGAAAATTAAGTTGTTACATTCAGATTGAAATATTGTACAACTGTAGATATTCAATATACTGGTTAGAAATAACAAGTAAGTTGAAGCACATCACAGAAATACACAGAAGGTGTTAGATTTCGAATTGTTTTCGCTAATAGGCCGAGAATTCAAGCATCACATTCGTATAGTTATGGTAATCTAATCAGTGCTAGCCTCATTTGCATTATTTACTCAAGTGAAATATAAATTAAAATTAGCTATACATTCGTAGATCTATATCTGAAACACCCGATTTGCTGGCATAATTTCATAACATTTAACACGTAACGTAATTGTTGCGCGAAAGATTCTCGAAGTCATTTAATTTTTGACAAGAAATAAGTTACAGAATTGAAGTTGATTCCAACGCATATTATAAACTGAATTTTTGACAAAATAAAAACCAGTACGTGTACTTAAGTAGTAGTGGTGGGGAGGCGAAGCCTGGCAACTAGGCCATTTTTAGCCCTTTTTGTCGACCCCGTTATACCGAATAGGTGGGCACAAAAATTTAAAACTGATTATGAAACGGTTGTAGATACTGTCAGTGATTAAAGATCAGTGCCAAAAACATATTTGAAGGTTCTTAGTCTACAAAAACGATCAACCATAATGAAGACGCTGAGTGGTACTTAAGAGGTAGGTAATGATCCTAGTATATTTGGGAGAGTTAGGCAGTTATGATGGGACTGGAACATCCAAACAGGAGACATCTGGGACATGGTCTATAGATCAAGAAATTGCATCTATGCTATTGAAAAATGTTATTTTCGTCCCGGAACTTTGTAATTTGAAAATCGTCAAAGATCAAAATGTCCTTAGAATAAGTAAAAGTACAAGCTCCTGAATTTTGTAGCGTAGTTAGGAAAAGCCATATGGTTAGTCCTATTGAAAATGGTTTTTCTTATCACAATCTTTTTCCTAGACGTCTAGTTTTGAAACGCCCTGTTGGTGTCAATGATATTCTGGGTAACTAGCAGCAGTTTCTATTTCGATTCCGACCAAGTTTAGGTAAAAAAATATGGGTTTTGGTCGGAGTTTCGGTTTTGCCACAAATTGGCCGAACCTCTCGGCTTTGTCAAAACATTCCTTCCAAGACGTTTGTGCGATTGAATTTTGTAGATTAAAATAGATTTTTTGCTATTAACATGAGTAATTACCGTTATTGACTGCAATGCTCCATTGAAAGGTAGTATCTCTCTTTAGGAAAATAATGATAACAAAAAATATCTAGGCAAACTATGAATATAATTTTAAATTATATTCTGTTAAAATCGTTACGTCGATTTGACAACTAAACATTATATTATGAATTATTTAAGTACGAGTGAGAAAAGGCTAATGTTGGCTTCAACTTGTTATTTAGCCATCCTTCCTGAACACCTTTACAATTCTGATAATATTGGGGATCTGCTTTTAGTGCTAGCAAAGTGAAAGTACCGTCAAGCAAGGTTAGCATCTAACTCCCCTTTAAAATGGTAATGGACGAATCCAAATCGTCCAAATCGGATTCCTGTTATACTTGACAATGTACTTGTCAACTTGGCAACAGGTAACCAGGAGTTTCAGCGTATTGATGAAATAAGTAGAAAGCCATTATCATAAATTTAATCTTAAGAGACTTTAAGTGGTAGTAGTAAAACAAAATCTATAAATATCTTGCTTGAGATGGCCTTCATTGATCTGTAACATCGTATACAACAGCGCTCGACAACTAGAGGCCCATTTTACAGCCTAGGTATGTAATGTACTATTTTTTCCTTCATAATTAACAGCATTTTATTTCTTGTAACCCTATTAAGCAAGAAAGTATACACTATGAGTGGTAAGTTGTCCGAGTACTCCTATAACTCTGTAAATTTCTAAATTCTAAGAAATTGTGTACATTTCAAGTCTAAAAGTTTCGGTATTGGTCGAAACTAGGATACATATTTTCGGTCGTCATTAGTATTCTGCAATTCACATATTCCACATTTTTTTACACGGATGCAGCCGCGTAAGCAGACACCTAAATACCGGAGCAACGCGACCGCCATAAAAAATACATACTGGACCCGGCTCTATTAAGTATCAATTTTTCGTTTGATTATCATCCCTGTTTACATAATTTCACAAATCTGAGAGCACGGCGGATGGATAAATAGCAACGTTCAAGACATACTCACCATCCTCCTTGTCTGGTCAGCGTGAATCCAAACCTCGATTCTTTGTCTACGGATACTCTGATGCCAATGATGCCCAATCCTTGCGGAGTCACTACTTGGCCCCGCATGACAGCAACACGGCTAAACAATGAGAAACAGTGTGAGTCAGGAGTAGCTCTATCCTACTTTTTAAAAAAGGTACATGGCTATTCCAAAGACATATGGGAATTTCACAATAGAATATTCGTTCAAAAATATTTGACCTCATTCAATTTCTGACAGTTTAAATTATTTTGAGATTTCTTTATATGTACTACATAGGTTACCTTAACGATTTTACGTTCAGATATATATTCCACGGAATGGGCTTACAAATTCATGTTTAATGTAATGCCTGAAACATCGTTTGGTTTCCATGTTGATATGACGCCATGTAAATCTGACCGCTAAATGCAACCAAAAATGCTTGAAGCGTCATCAGTAAAACTTAGTTCTAGCATATGTTGTTTCATTTAGCAGCCAAAACTCATGAAGTCCTACACTTATTTTTGTCAACAAACCAGTGCTCCTTACAACATTTATTTGATAGATTTGCGAAGATTTTGTGCTAATTTATGTAGCCATTTAATCTGGAACGATTTTTATGTCAAAACGCTAAAGGCGTACCAATTTGTTTAGCCTCCATCCGGGTGACTCAATTACTCACTAAGTGCTAAGGTAACAAATGACATTTATTGGTATAAGGTAAGTAAAAATGGAATGAAAAATAAATGTTTAAACCAGATTATTGTTCTAAAAGAATCCAGAACTAAGTTGTTTTCTCGCCGAAATTTAGAAATGCCTATATGGGTATGACACTGTGTTCAGACAAACTACCAAGCCTCATACGATCATATAGATATGTGTTTTATATGATACCTTTCACACGGCATTATAACTTCTCACCCTCTATCAGTGATAGTCGTTTGGTCTGCCTTTGAGGTTTATCTTCAAGTCGTCATTGCGTGTGTAGTTAGCATTACTAAAGACAAGTATTAGCCCCATTGACTATCAGCCTTAAGATAAAATATTGATTTCACCTCCCAAATTATTGAGGACAATGCTTATTGATTCAAGTTACAAGTTTACAGCAACATTCCTCTCAATCCCCCGATCCATAGACCAGGTTTCGTTAAAAACGTTATTGATGATGCTGGGGTTGTACTTTGAGGACAGCAATCAGCGAAATTCTCATATATCCAGGTATGTCTGTCATGATATTCGATAAAATCGTTCAGGACGCTCAACTGAAATTTAATTTTGCTTCGACTTTTGTGTGGAATTTCATTCTAAAAACACTGAACTGCATACCCAATAAAAAGAAGTATGGAGTATATTTACAGATGATCAACTAAAAACATACAGTTATGTTGCTTGATGTAGGCAAGCTTATAGTTAAGCTTGATACGTAAGCTTAGAACTGCCATTATTTCATAGCTGATGTTCAGCGAAAGACACGCTTAAATCTTGTCAAGGAAGCTCTTTAAATTAGAAACTAAAAGGTCTTCAAAGTGGTGGCGGTGATTGTTTTTTGTTACACAGTGGCTCATTTTGCGGCCAGTATGGTGGCAAAAGATTTTATGATGGAACTCAAGCTAAAGAATACGACTGGAATATGATAAATTATTAAGAAAGCAATATACATGAGTCACAACCACCATCAGCTTACCAAACCTCAGTAGGAAGAGCTTGAGGTTGTTTACTAAAGAACATTAGCGGTGGTACTTTTTGGTGTATGAGGTAATGTCATACATCCGTGAGACTGTGATAATACGATTAAGATTTTCGTCATGTGCCTGAGCAAAGACAACAAAAAGGAATTATTGAGCACGTGGGCCACAGAGCATAAGATATAAAGCCGACTAACAAAAATGTTCTACATCAGTTCTTACAAAGAGCCGAAAAAATGCAAAACATGGATTAATATTCAACAGCGTTGAAAATGAGCAAACTACGAGTACATGGGAGCCAGTACTGATCACGACAGAATAATTTCTTTCATGTTGTGGAGCAAGAGCTCTAAAGAATACATGCCGTAAACACTTAAATAAGTAGTGGGATACGTAGCGTTCTTCTATGTAAAGAAAGAAATAGGCTGAGTTGAAAGCTATCATAGGATTCTTTGACAATCAGACGTCTTGCAAAAAAATATATATACAAAACTGTCAGATATAGATAAATTAATAATGTATAACACAAAATAGCTCCCATTATAAGTTTTTTTATTATGCATCGAAATATACTAAATCTTAATGATAAAAGTGGTTGTCTATCCACCAACAACAGTTACAAATTTTGTTTTGCCAGCAAACGAGTCAAAAACGAAAATAATCAGTGTTTTGGAAAAAGATAAACATCTTGGAAATCCACCGTGCCTGGTCAAAGGTAACCATTGCAATAACAAAATGTTAAAAGCTATGAGAGAAGCGCTTCTTAGCTTCGAAATGGTGATTTGAAAAGTCCAAGTTCGCCGTAAGCAGATTATTGCAAGTACCTACAAGCATAATTTCTGCTAATGCAAGTTGTAACGCCTTGGATACGATTGGACCATTCACTTGTTGTTCGTGTTGAAGTTATAGTGTAAAGTTTTTTAGAATTTAAGAGTCATTTATGGACAAACTCTTGCAACTTGACAAGACGAATTGTTGAAGCATTTAGAGATTGAACCAATATCAGTGATTTGTAAAAATCATAGACTATGGTTGGGTATTACGTTCTGTGAATGTTTGATGGTTTATACATGTTGGTGTTCAAGACCTCGAAAAAAGAACCCGTGATTTGAAACTTTGTTGTCAATAACCTACCCAATATCAACGAATTTGTTTTTTCCATTACAATGCCTCGTTGATACTGCTTGACAAGTGGAACAACCAATTTTAAATTTCATCTAAAACTGTTAATATTTTTATTTCGAACAATAAAAAATGAATAGAAATCGTCATTAAACCGGCCACTCGTTCATGTGGACCGTTTTCGATTTCAATTAAATTTTCCATTACAAATATTCGTACAGAAAGTATATATACATTTTTTTAACAAGCAAACAGCGCAAAATGATTTTATCGAATATTAACTCTTCAATTAAAAATATATTCATATGAATGTATATTGTATATACCATGCACAATATTCATTGTCAAAAAGCTGGAAGCTGCAGTCTACTGTGAAAGCATGAACAAACATTTTAATTTCCAAAAACATGAGGAACTGGTATTCACTTTTTACGTAACCTTTTTACCCAGATGCAAGATGCTTCACTGTAAGTCAAATAATTATTTACGAAAAATATAAACATAACATGGATTCCCAAGAACATTATTAACTTGTAACTTGAAAAGTTGCTGTGGCAGCGAAAACATTAGTAAAGACAGCTGTAGTTTTATTTTTCGTCCAGGAAGAAAATGCATTCTTTATAGATTTCACTCATAGAATTGGCATTATGAATTTCAAAGTAGTCTTAATAAGTATTTGGTAAATTATATCTCATTTGGGATATCATTATGCCAATTGTAGTACAATTGGTGAATACTGGAAAAATCGTAACTCGTTTCTCTTGTCTTTGAAAAGCATCCTTAGACTGACATTGGCATTAATCGACTGCGCACTATCAATGTCAGTCTGATGATGCGTTTCAAATAAAACTGAAACGCGTTAAGTCTTTTCCAGTTCTTTAAGAGCCTTACAACAAATTGTACTATTCAATCGTGTATTATATTGCTGTCAGTACCTATCTCTTATTTTGTCACTGTCAATCAATGTTAATGATTATCCATACGTGGCAATATTCATAAAGATTTGCTCCGATTTTCAAAATTTTTGTTGATCATTCAAAGTTGGCTAGAGCTTAGAAGGACACTTTATGGCATGCGTATTTAAAGGGTGCTTGAGCTTCTTTTGTTTTGCAAATCTACTTCCAATTGCTCATACAACCAACTGCCATCGAAATGCCTTACTGTTAATTGTCTTTGGATATCTAACGAGCTACTGATATTAAAATATTCTGAAATGTAAGACTATGCTTCTGGTTTTCATTGTTTATTGATCCAGCTTATCTAAATAAATTGTTCAAGTTCTCTATCAATTTTCAGAAGCAACTTGCATCTGTAACTATACGTAGACAATAAATGCAATCAAAGTAGACCAAAAAAACATGTGCAGGCAATATACTTTGCATGATAAAAGACACCTTAGATTAATGCTGCACGCACAGCTAAAGTATCTTCAAACATAATGCCACTACACCATATCTTTTTTGTATTGTATCATTTCATTCATTGCCTATGCCATCTAAGTGAATTTCCTGTATCATTGTAGACACAATGAACCATTTGTATAAATGTAAATATGTATATCTAATACTTACCAACCGGAGTTAACTATAATAAATATGCAAGTTATGTAGCTTTAGGAGTCTTGTGCAATTCAAAGTGTACGCAGAGAGCATTCGTTGTCAGAAACTTAGGTATTGCAGTTTGAAGTTCTTATAAGCTACATAGTCTCTAGCAATACATCAATAATAGATTATGAAGCATAGCTGTTTTTATTGATATCATTTCTCATATTTTTCATTTAATCTCTATATCTTACATATTCCATTGGTGGAACAACTACAAGGTAAGCAAGCATATTTTTTATTAATCTTCTTGAGACATCCATTTCTGCTGAATACATGGCCAACTGATAGCTATCGAAACCTCTCAATAAACAAATGGTTTTATTTTAATAAAAGTTGGTGAATGTATTTATCTTACTGTAAATAACAAGTGAAAAAATTTTCAGCCTTATCAGTTGGACATTCCGGTTTTTATACTGCTTTTTTTCAGCGTTGGCGGATTTTGGTTCTTGACATCCTTTACGATCGGTTACGATGCCTAGAGTACGGAGACCTGTACGATTTCGTCAACTTAGTGAGTTTGATAGGGGCCGTATAGTGGGACTTCGGGAAGCTGGACTTTCTTTTCGGGCAATTGCAGTTAGAGTGCAAAGAAGTGTAGACACTGTGGTTAGGTGTTGTCAGGCATGGCTTCGAGAAGGCCGTACGCAAAGAGCAAGGGGCACTGAACGCCGCCGTAGAAGAACAGTTCGTGAAGATCGCCGCCTAA